CTGGAATATTTCTTAGCCATAAAAAATAATGAAATCTCACCATTTGCAACAACACAGATAAACCTAGAGAGTATTATGCTAAGTAAAGTAAGTCAGAAAGAGAAAGATAAATGCCAAATGATCTCACTTATATATGGATATATGGAATCTAAAAAACAAAACAAAGAAACAAAACAGAAACAGACTCATTGTTATGGAGAAAAAACTGGTGGTTGCCAGAAGGAGAGGGATGGGGGATGGGGTGGGGATGGGGGATGGGTGAAGTACATGAAGGGGAGTAAGAGGTACAAACTTCCAGGTAAAAAATAAGTAAGTAATGAGGATGAAAAGTACAGCACAGAAGGGGCAGCTGGGTGGCTCAGTTGATTAAGCTTCTGCCTTCAGCTCAGGTCATGATCCTGGGGACCTGCTGGGCGTGCGTGAAGTCTGCTTCTCCCTCTCCTGCTGACCCTTCCCCCTGCTCCTGCTTTCACTGATGCTCTCTCAAGTAAATAAATGTTTAAAAAGTCTTAAAAATAAAAAAAAAAGGAGAAAAGTACAGCATAGGGAATATAATCAATGATATTGTAATAACTTCAGGGACAGGTGGTGACTAGAGCCACTGTGGTGATCATCTCACAATGTATAAGAATATCGAATCACTATCTGTACATCCTGACACTAATATAATCATGTACACCAATTAAAATTTAGTTTTAAAAAAGAAAAGTAAGAAAGAACAGAAAAAAAAATCTGTGAAACTCAAGAATACATGGAAATTAAATGGCATTCCTAACTAACTAATGGGTCAAAGAGGCTATCATCAAGGAAATTAGGAAATATGCTGAGATGATCAAAAGGAAAACGTGACATACAAATGTCCGTGGGATGCAATGAGAGCAGGCTTCACAAGGCTGTAAGTGACTGTGTGAGATACAGAAAGATCACCAATCTCTTCCAACCCAAGAAACCAGAGAAAACAGAAACAAACCAAATGCATAGCAAGCAGAAGGGCAAGAAATAAAAATAAAAATTAGAGTGTAAAGAGATTAAAGAGAAAAACAGAAGATAAAATGTAAAAACTGACAAACTTTTAGCTAAACCCACCAAGAAAAAACAGGTAAAACTCAAGTAGCTAAAATCAGGAATGAAAGATGGAACATTACCACTCATCTTACAAAAAAAAATTTTTTTTAATTCTCAGGGATACTATGAACAAGTAATTATATGCCAACAAATCAGATAACTTTGATGAAATGGAAAATTTCCTAGGAGGACACAAAGTACTAAAAGGAATTCAAGGAGCACCTGGGTGGCTCAGTGGTTGAGCGTTTGCCTTTGGCTCAGGGCATGATCCTGGGATAGAGTCCCACATCAGGCTCCTTGTAGGGCACCTGCTTCTCCCTCTGCCTGTGTCTCTGCCTCTCTCTGTGTGTCTCTCATGAATAAAAAAATAAAATCTTTTAAAAATAGGAAGTCAAGAAGAAAGAGAAAGTATTCATACACCCATCTCAAGCAAAGAAACTGAATGGGTAATCCAGAACCTTCCCACCAAGAGCCCAAAAGTAAAGGGCTTCACTGATGAATTCTATCAAACATTTAAGAATTAACACCGACACTTCAAAAATCTTCCAAAAAACAGAGGAAGGGACACTTCCCAACTCACTGTGAGGCCATGACTACCCTGATTCCAAAACCAAAGACATCAGAGAAATGACCCTACTGCTATCTCTGAATACAAACACAAAACTCTTCACCGAAATACTAGCAAACAAAAAAGCAAAAACAAACAAAAAAAAAAAAAACACTAGCAAACCAGCTCCAGCAGCACATGAAAAAGAATTATGCAATATGACCAAGTGGAATGCATCCCAGGAATATAAGAGTGGTTCAAGGGTATGAAAATCCATCCATGTAGATCACCATATTAATGGAATGAAGGGGGGTAAAAAAAATCACATGGTCATCCCCACTGAGTGATGGACCAGGGAGGCAGAGCAGGTGAGAGGACGGAGACGGGGTCGGGATGGTGTCCTGAGCAGAGACCCGCCCCTTTCAGCACTAACATCAATACCAAGGGCAAGGGTAGAAGTCAGCCCACGCGTATGCTAGAAAACACTGACGCACAGAATTCCAGGAGGAGTTCTATTCTGCACTCTTACCGTTTACTCATTATTTATAAATGAAATGAAAAATTCAAATTATTTTATCTCATTCACATTTCATTTTTAGTTGGAAGAAAATCTTAATAAGCAAAGCTGAATGAAAACAGAATTAAAGCTCTGTAACAACCTATCTCTAGATTCTCGACCCGTTAATCCCTGGGACTTCTATCCGCCATATGAATTTTACAAGAGAGATTATCCATTCTTCTCAGTTTATAGATGCTCAACCCCAGAGGCAGGTACGGAAACATTCCAAGTTCCTGACTAAAGCTCTGGCTCCATCATCCGTTAAGCCGCATTCTTTGGAAAGCCAAGGCATCTTAAGCCCTGAGCAGGACGGTGGCCATGGGGCAGTGGACATCGTCGGGGGTCCTCCAGTGAGGTCTGGGCAGACGAGCCTTAGCCCCAGAACGGATGGCTCAACTGGGAGGGCCCTGGAATTAAACAGAACCTTTTATTTCCAGCCTTCCTAAGGCGTGATTGACAAACAAAAACTGCATATATTTAGGTTATACAATAGGATTTTTTAAGGTGTACAACAAGATGATTTAATATACATTATCATTGGGAAATGCGCACCAACAACAGCAACCATTTTTTCCTTTTGGTGAGAACAGTTATGACCTCCTCTGCCAGCACCTTCGAGGATATAATACAGCTCTGTTCACTGTAATCCCCACGCTGTGCATTAGTTCCCCAGAACTCAACTCATCTCAAAGTTTGTACCTCTTGACTATGCTCTCCCCATTCCCCCCCACTACCTGGCAACCACCGTCCTACTCTTTGGTTCTATGATTTCCGCTATTTTAGAGTCTACATATAGGTGAGATCACACAAAATGTTCATCTTTCTAGGTGTCCAGCTTATTTCACTTAAGGTAAAGTCTTCCAGATTCATCCATGTTGCAAATGGCATGATTTCCTCCTTTGTTGAGGCTGAATAATGTATGTGTGTGTGTGTGTGAGAGAGAGAGAGAGAGGCACCTTCTGTATCCGCTCATCTGCTGACAGACCCTTGGCCATCTACTGTGAATGAAGCTGCAGGGAACACTGGGGTGTGGATATCTCTCTGCAATACTGATTTCATTTCCTTTGGATATATTTCCAGAGGTGAGATTGCTGGATCATGCAGTAATTCTATCTTTACGTTTTGAGGAACCTCCCCACTGTTTTCCGTAGTGGCTGCACCAGTCTGCATTCCCGCCAACAGGGCACAAGGGTCCCGTTTCTCTACATCCTCGCCAACACGTGTGATCTTGTCTTCCCGAGGACAGCCAGTCCAACGGGGGCGGGGTGATCGCTCACTGCAGTTTTGATTTGACCTTCCCTGATGGTTAGTGACACTGAGCATCTTTTCATGCACCTGTTGGTCATCTGTATGCCTCCTTAGGCAAAATGCCTGTTGAGGTCTTTTGTCCATTTTTAATCAGGCTACTGGGCAAATTCTGAATGCCAAATGGCCCTCTTCCCTCCTCTCCTCCCCAAAGCAGAGACTCAAAAGGACGCTATTTGGTTAAGATGTGACTATGTGTAACTGCCCACCTCAGACCTGCTTTCTCGAAGTGGGGAGAGGCCAGTCCCTCTCCCGAGGCCCGTGATGGGGCTGACACACCATGGACCCACCCCACTCGGCTGCTGGAGAGGAAGACACGAACACTCCACCCTCCTCCTCATTCGCCACCACTGGTTTCAGGTGCCCGGTTTTCTCAGTTTCATCTTTCGCCAGTAACAGTATCCAGCAGAACTTCTCCTAACTTCTCAACAACTTAATCCTCTGTCAGGTGTATTTCTCTGAGCTCCCTGGGAATGGCCAGAGGGACTCATTAACCAAAACGTTTTTTGTCTGGAGTCTCTCCTTGTTAACGATGTCAGACAGATGATCAATAAGCCAGCCTGCTTAGAAATGCCAGTCTGAATATTCCCAGGAAAGAGCAATTGGTTATCAGTGTGGCTAATGAATCCTGTGATGGAGCTCTCATGGCCACGGACTGTTCTGGCTGTTGTCGCTCATCATATAAAAATAGTTTTATGGAGGCTTTTTTTTTCTTCTTTAACTGTCGTTTGCAGCTATTCCTCGTGTAGTACACATCTTCTTTGTCTGTGGGGACCTAATTACAGTGCCTCAAAGGTTTCTCTAATCCACTGCCTGCTGCATCTGATGCCATTCAGTGGGAGATGTCTGGACGCCGCTGACAAGATGGATCTCCCTTCGCACGCTCATTGTGAACCTGAAGGATTCTGTGCGAATCAAAGCTTTGCTATTTGAATCCTCATTCCAGGTTTACACGCTCAGTTCAGAAATGTGGCATCTCGAATTGTATAGTCTTATACATTAATCACGTATGTTGTAATAGCTTTCCTTTATTGTCTTCTGTGCCAGGCATCATCCGAGGTGCCACAGGTATATCCCCTGGCTTAATCCCCAGCGCCCACCTTGTGACAGGCGTATTTATTTTCATTTGTCCGATAAGCACAGTGAGGCTAAGAGAAGTCACGTCATCTGCTTCAGGTAATGCAGCTGGCGGGTCCTGGAGCTGGGTTAAACCCACACTCGTCTGACAACAGGCTCATGCTAACACCTCCCTTCATGCACTCACTCCTTCCTTCCTCCTTCTACAACCAGGCACTGGAGAAGCACCCACAGACACCAGGTATAGTGAATTCAAAAACAGGATCTTATGTGAGTGGACCTATAATTGGACAATTATTAACTGTAGGAAATGTGAATGTTCTGGGTTTCTGTGCCTGCCAAACAGGAACCTTAGCATCAAAGCACATGTGAGCAAATCAACACCATCATCGTCAACGGGCACATCCGTGGCCATGGCCCCCTCGCCCGGGACCCCAGGCCTCTTACCATCTCCGCTTTTGCTGGGGTTGGTGGGCTCAGGAGTACTCAGAGGTCTGAGGGGAATGATGATTTCATCAACATTAACCCCTTCTTCTGCGTGCTTCTCAGAAACGTGGGAGAGCAGCTCTGACTGGTTGGGTGAGAAAAGGTTACAACATTTGCACATGAAGATAGCCGTGTTTTCTGTAAGAAAAAAAGCAAACTATGTTATTTCATCTTAACGAAAACAACGATTGCTTCCAGTCGCCAAAGAAAAATACTTAAGGCTGCCTTTTGGGCCATGGTCAGCCTCCAACAGACTGTGTCGCTCTCATGGACACCTCCACGCCCGCCAGGCAGCTCACTTCTCTAACTTCTAATCCCTCCCACCCTCCCCGCCCTCCCTGTCTGACAGCCCAGATTCCAGCATCAACCTGGCAAGGTAAAAGAACAAGCAGGGAACTGCAAAACCAAAACCCAAGCTTCAAATGAATGAACCTCGCTGACAGCAATTAAGCGCTCTCGCTAGCCTCTCTCAAATTAGGTACAAGGGAAAATTGATCAAAACAGCATTTCTCAAGGGCCAAGACACCTTTCACTGGCTGGCACAAAAACTAAACACAAGAAGAATGGGAAGGTGTTGATTTCTTTAAGCACTTAATTCCTAACTAAAAGCATTACCACCATTCACAAATATTTACTAATAGTCCACTACGTTCATCCCATAATACTAGGCAGAAAGACGTAATGGGAAAAGGTTCCTTTCTAAGATAATTGTCGATACATATAAAAATATTAAATTTAGGAGCAAAAAACTAATTAAAAGCTAGATTTTTTTTTTTAACAATGCAAAAAGAGTTGGTATGATGGAAAGGACAGTGGCTGTGAAGCCAGACAAACCCAGATTCCGTTCCCAGTCCCAATGCCAACTGCTGTAAAGCTGGGCGATCTTCGACACGTAGCAATGACCCATCGGCTGCTGGGACGTAACAGCGGATGCAGGTACCGAGCCCGCTTGGCAGTAGGAACGCTGTACACCACAGCCCTGACTCAGTCCAGCAGGCCAACATTTAAGTGCTGTTACTGCTTTAAAATTCTCTAAAGGGGAAGACCGCACCCACGGGCCACCCTGGAAGGACACTGGATACACGGTGTAAACTGAACCCCAACCCCTCCCATCCAATGAGAGTGTTCCAGTAACTTCTGCGTCTTTCTCCAGACCTCCAATTCTTCCTCTTTACTACAGAGGAAGTAGTTTGTTTTATTTTCCCATCTTAAGACAAAGAATCTTTCTTGAGCTCCACTCCCTTGCTCTCCCTCATCCCATTTTCCTCCTCCTCTTTACAGCAAGAGTCCCCTACAGAAAGAGGAGACAGGAAAGGCAGGCGGTGGGCCAACCTGACGTTGCCCCCGTGAGGAGAACCCTGCAAGGCACTGGAGCCACAAGTACAATCTCCCTTTGGATCCAAAAGAAGGGTTCCTCCGTGAGCAAGCAGGTGGAGTAGTGACCTAAGAGGATTTTTCCCTACCAAACACCACAGGAAACAGAAATTTAACAAAGCAGAACATTGCTTCATCAATGAAAATCTCTCCTGAATACCGTCAATCGATATTTTATTTTTTTCCAGGAAATGCTTTATTCCCGAGGAACCCAAAAGGCTTCCCAAACAACACGGGATTACAGAAATGCTTCTTTTCTTCATATGAGGCTATGTTGTTTTCAATGAGCTTCCTACTGACCCTGCATAGATCCCACTGATTTAGGCAAAAAAGGATCTGGAAAGCCCCTTCCACGGGCAAGGAAACCGAGCTGAGAGAGGAGAGCAGCTTGCCCAAGTCACCGTCGGGCGGAAGCAGAGACCAGACTCTTTGCCACCTGCTCTTGACATGAGCAGTGTCTGTCTGGCTACGCGCCCTGAGTGGAGTTCCTTCCAGTTGGGATAACTACTCACCGTGATGCCCAACAGCGTCTGAAATGAAAATCATCCCCAAAGAGCATGATCCCAGAATCGCCCATCAATTTCTTTCTTGGTCATTCCAGCCCATACCACGCAGTGGCCACAGGCAGGCCCCCTGCAGGCCCCGCGGCACAGAGGTGGCCCCAGCTATGTGGGCCACATGGACACATCACGGCACAGCTGCACTGTACAGGTTCTGTTAAACTACTTCCCAACAGACCTGTACGTGGTGGTACTGACTTCTGTGATGCTCTCAGGAGAAAGAGAATTCTGTGACACTTAACTGAACAGAACTTTTGGGGACCACGGAGTTATTGTGAGCGGTCTCCACTCACAGGCACGCCAGGCACTGTGTGGACAACAAATGACTCAAACTACTTTTGCATCTACGTACGACACAGGGGTGGAGGGGACTGTAAGTCATCCAGCTACCACCCAGCTATTCCACACCCCGGAGGACGGGGTGGCATCTGGCCTTGGCCCACATGCTTCCCAAGTGCCTGCAGGGTGTCCGCCCCGTTAGACAGGCGGAGACGAGACCTGGGGGCCCCAGGTGTGGGCAGAGAGAAGGACACATGACCCATGACACCCATCACTTCACTGAGGGTGTGGGCAGAGGCGAACAAGCATGACCCAGGAGGTGGAGGGGCTGACCTCTCCTCGGCCACGCGGCCAGGGAAGCACAGTCGAGGTGGAATGCAGCTTCACCTGAGCCAGGCCCAGCGTCTCCGTGGTGCCACATGGACCTTCCAAGGTCACCGCCAACAGGACCACACAACCCCCGAGCTGTGCCGGCGGTTGGGCTCTGTTTCACCACCAACCACACAATCTTGGTTTCTTTTTCTTTTTTTTTTTTTTTTTAATTTCATTTTTAAGTAATCTCTACACCCAACATGGGGCTCGAACTTACAACCTTGAGGCCAAGAGTCGAAATGCTCTACCAACCGAGTCAGCCAGGCGTCCCGATGCAATCTTGTATTTAAGAGCAGCTGGTTCCGGAAGCCCAAAGAGAATACACAGTGTTCCCTCTTGAACAAAATCTGTGACTGTCCCCCAGGCCTCCAACCGGGGCTGGGGGGGGGAAGGGGGGAACCGTGCACTCTTTGGAGATGCTCATAAAGCTGGGTATAAACAGCAAAATGCCAAGACATGCAAAGAAAGTATCCAATCAGGATGCATCCTCCCAAATATTAAGAATTGTTATTCCACCAAGATAACAACAAAGGAGCTCTTTTCATTTTTTATAGTGGACTAACATGGAAAAATGTATCTTATACCCTAAAATATAATCATAATTATGTTGTCAGCTAATTCTGATAAAGATGCTATAATTTGGATGCATTTTTAGGTCCAATTACTATGCACTCGTCCTCAACAAAAGGATTCAAAGAGAAAACCACATGTTCGATACAAGGAAAATCACAGAAGTTTGGAGTTTGAGTGTTCCATTTCTATGAAATATTTGCCAGTTTTCAGGCAGCTACTCTGTACTATTAAAAAAGAGAATCTTAAAATAACTGCATGAACAAGTTCTCATTTCTGAACTCTGATTTGTAAGAACTCCTGGCCAGGAAGAGCCACATCCTGCCCGTGACCTCTGACGCCCACCTGCTGACATCCACCCTGCCTGGGGACCCAGGGATGAGTGAGCCTCTGACCTCACTCCCTGAAGAAGGTCATGAACAGAAGGGGCTCATAGGTCCCGGCAGGTTGGTCAGGCCCCTTCAACACTGTGGAGGTCACTGGGAACTACTAGGTCCCACCCCCTCCTCTGGCCACAGGCAGCACAGGTGTCAGCTGAAGCTGCCCTGCTCCTGAGGGGACCCCCACCCCCAAAATCTCAGGCCCTAGGCCCCAGCACATAATCCAGGGAAGCGTTTCCCTCCTGCTGTTGTTCCTTCTAAGTCCACCTCATCTGGGAGGTCAAGGTGAGATGATCAAGAGTAGGATAAGGATTCGGGCATTCGGGGTCTCCTGGTCCTATAACAGTTTCCTCCTGTGATTATTAACATTTATTACAGAAGTTACAGTATGAATACATGCTCATTCTAAAGCAGCTAAATAATGCAAAACTCTATAGAATAGAGTACCATCCCCTTTGGAACAAGGGCATCACTGAACAATCTGGTTTGTATCCTTCTAGGCCTTCTGCTGTGCATCAAAGGGAGACAGGGAGACAGAGGAACAGAGAAACCACGTGCACACCTGCCTTTATCCTTCCCTCAGGGACCCCCGTTGCCCTTCCTCCACTCTCCCTCCACCTCCCCTGGGGTCCTGCTCCTAGCACGGAGCTCAGGACAAGAGCTGCCCTACAAAAGCCAAAGCCCATAGACCACGCTGTAGCCCAACCCCCAACCCTGATGGCAAAGGCCGGGCAGAAAGCCAGGACCTCCACCCCAACCCCAAGGCTGATGAAACACCCTCCCTACTTCCCAGTGGGCCGGTGTTAGAGGAGGCCCAGTGCACAGACAGGACTTTCTCTACCTCCTTACCACTGTGTCCCTGGAAGCCACCAGGGAGCAGTACTGAGGCACTCCTGCCCCTCCTAGTCAGGGCTGGTATCACAGGGACCCCGCGGGCAGCCTGAACCCCCACCCTGCCCAGCAGTCCCCTGGGGCACATCTTCTCCTGGGTATCAGCAGAAGTCAAGAAGAGAGCATGACATCTACCCTCTCTGGCAGTAACGAAGCAGCACCCCACTTCTTCACCAGGGCTGTGTCAGAGGGACCTGCTAAAGCAGAAGATTTGAGGATCCCTGGGTGGCTCAGCGGTTTAGAGCCTGGCTTTGGCTCAGGGCGTGATTCTGGGGTCCCAGGATCAAGTCCCACATCGGGCTCCCTCCAGGGAGCCCGCTTCTCCCTCTGCTGGTCTCTCATGAATAAATAAGAAGAAAAGAAGAGAAAGAAAAAGAAAGAAAAGAAAGAAGAAAGAAGAAAGAAGAAAAGAAAGAAAGAAAGAAAGAAAGAAAGAAAGAAAGAAAGAAAGAAAGAATGATTTAAGTAAGATCCAGACTCTTGTAACACCTAAAATGCCCAGCATTCAACCAAAAATCATTGTAATCTTTCAAGAATCAGGAAAATCTCAACTTGAATGACAAGAAACAGTCAAGACGCCAACACTAGATGATACAGATAGCAGAATTATCTGACGAAGACTTTAAGCAGCCATCACAAAAATATAACGAGCAAGTAGGAACACACTTCTAGCAAATGCCAAAGCAGAGAGTCTTCAGCAAAGGAACAGAAA